TGACTTTTCAAGGTCCCTTCCAGTTCTAGGAGATAGGCAATCTCCATTAATTCATTACTGCTGAAAAAGATTAGCAGGTAATAGTGGCTCACAAATGGAATGAGTTACAAAAGAGACTGATACCATTTTGAGGTGTATTAACAGAAGAGTCCTGTGTCAGCTACATGAGGTAATTATCCTGCACTCCTCAGCATTGGTGAGACCACTGTTGGAGTACTGTGTGCAGGTGAAAGTGCCACATGTCAGGAAACATGTTGGCAAATGAGAGAATTTAAAGGGGAGCAATAACAATGAAAATTGTTTTCTAAAACAGGATAAGAAAAGGTTTAGCAAGGGGCATTTTAGTCTTGAGAAAAGACTGAAGGGAGACCTGATAAGTCTTCAAAAGGACAGTGATCAATTGTTTCCGTGTCCACTGAAGACGGGAAGAGAAGCAATAGGCTTAATCTGCAGCAAGGGAGATTTAGGTTAGGTATTAGGAAAAACTTTCTGCTGTAAAAGTGGTTAAGCTCTGGAATAGGGTTCCAAGGGCTTCTGGGAACTCCCCAGCATTGGAGGTTTTTAAGAGCAGGTTGGATAAACACCTGTCAGTGGTGGGCTTAGTTTAAGTATGTCTTGCTTCAGAACAGGGGGTTAGACTCAATGACTTCCTGAGATCCCTTCCAGCCTTTCATTTCTCTGATTCTGTGATTTTAAAACAAACCTTGCATTAACACATCATTCTCCTTTCAGCACTTCACAGCTATTTTTACCAGAACTAGGCATTACACACTTGATAGAGGGCGAAAAAATTACTTCTCTTTGAACCTCTCATCTTCTGTAGAAAGTAGGCACTCTTTCTCCAACTGCTGCTAGTCTTCAGTCTGCATTTACTTTATGAGCTGATTAACTTCCTCTGCTTTCTCAACCAGGGATTTCAGCAGATGCTCAGATGCAGCCTGAGATTCTTCTTCTCTGTTGCTAGTATTTAAAGTATCACAAATGGTATTCTAGTTAACAGTCTGCCTTGGGAAGCAAAGTGACACTCTAAAGTAGCTGAAACCACAGATGTAATGAACAAGTTCATATATTAGATTAAGAATATACCATGTAGATGAAATAAGATCCATTTACCCTTTAACTCAGTTAAATATGGTATTTAAATGTCAGGCAAACAATTCTTAGTTTGTTACCTCTATAATATATAAGATTATATATTAATTTTAATTTGTAGTTGGTTCTGTATTTGAATGGAAACTTAAGTAGTATAGTTTCAGAATATTTATATTCCTCCGATACAGCTTATATTTTCTTTTTGAGTCATCTACATCTGTAAACAATTACACAAGCAGAGAGCTGCTAAGATTAGATCTCATCAAAGACTGAATATAAATACAACATAAAAGAATCAATAAATAGAAATGAGATCTTGGAGCAACGTGGTCCATTCAAAATGAGAAAGGAAACCAGTCAGATGAAATTGCTGCAGTCACTTCACAGTTTTGTTGATCCAAAAATGTCCCGAAGGTAATGACTGTTAAGCAGATCAAATTATGAATGTATTGTTCTGGCAGATAATCAGTATTCAGGGTATTTAAATACTGTTTGCTGCAAAACATCTTCCAGGCATCGGCATATAATCACACAAAACATCATACCATGTCAAACTAACTAGCAGCTGGAATGTTTTATCTGGTTTTTACACACACACAAGGTTTATTTTAGACAAGCTGCCATCAAGAAGGCCCCTTTTTTCTATTGTTTTGTTTACAAAGGCTGTATTTATTTCAGGTTTTTTGTTTGAAATCCCTATCCAAACTTAACAGCTGTTTCTTTCATTTTACCTTATTGTCCTAGTGAGTCACTCTGTTCAAGCATCCAAATTCAGCATCCCCAATGCTCCTGGTGTGAGGACATTCCCTTCCATTTACAGCCATGTTATCCTTTGTGTTGTGCCTTAAACAACGCAAAGCACAAGAGATGAGGCTTCAGCCTGCAAGATTGCTGGAGCAGCTGCAATTGTGGCCTTCCATTCAAAATGTCAGTCAACACCGGAGGGATCAGAGGGTCTGAGCTGCTTCCTAGCAAAATCTCATCAGCTCAATACATCATTTCAATGTATAGAGAAGGACCAGGACTCATTAAACTCAGCCACTTTTAATTTTGGCCAACTCCAACATTTATAAACAGAATGTACATACTGCCCAATTATTTAAAAAGGGCATTGAGCATGGTGCTTGTCAACCTTTGACAAAGGAGAATTTCTACCCACTCCGTCTGGGATGATAGATAACAAATCCAGCCTAGTATGAATTATTTAACTATATGCTGTCACCTTCAACAGCAACATTTGTCTATAAGCATACATTTGTGTCAAACATACAGTACATCCATTGATCATGGGTGCTTCTCACTGGTTTTCTTTTAATGGCTAGTACGCAGGCAATTACAATATTTGCCATTACATTCAATATGTCTTTATTTAATAATTTGAAATATAGGGGCCTGATTCTCCTTTACACTTAGGCTTGATGTATCCTTGAATGTAACTATGGCACATCTGAAGACCCCCTTTACACTGCCAAACTAATGTAAAGGAATCTTTGTCTAAATAAGAAAAGCAGGCTCTGCATTTCTTTCCCAATGTCACCTCTTTTTGGTTAGTCAACTCTTTCCTCTGCCAGTGTGAAGCTAAAGGTAGCTCTTTTTGTTGCTCTGCTACTAATGATGAAGCTGGTTGTCATTGGTGTTTCCAATAATGTTGTTTTTAAATCTGCTAATAGGAGCATGACTAAAAATAGTCAAGTAAACAATAGATTGAAATTGCTTTGTTTTGGTACAGAGTCAGTTTAATTTTCTCCCTGAGCCCAGCTTTGGGGTCAGTGAATGATGAGGCAGCAGCAGAACTTGGCAAATTAGAAGCCCTGATTCCCTCTTTTGATCTCCAAACATGAAGACATGCTGCAATGCCCAAGTGCAACCCTGAACTACTGCTCTGCAACAGCTGCTCCTATGCCCCTCAACACACACACAATCACAGAGTAAACCTACTCCACACATAGCCCTAAACAAGAGTGTCTGCACTTTTTACCCCATGTAGCAGCTATTAATGGCAAAGAAGATTCTGTAGCCTTACCTGACCCCAGCAACAGGGATGAGCTATTACAGTAAAGCTGCTTTCCCTTTAAGTGTGTTGAGTATTGTCCCCTCATCTCTCCCTGTGGCCCTCCCCACTTATCCTTGGCTCTCCTAGGTGCACTCCCTACCCCCATCCTATTTTGTTTCTGGTGTGGGAGACAGCAGAGGTCTCAGAGGCTCATTCTCTCTAAGCCCTCCTGTTCTGTGCTTTAGAAATGGAAATGAAGAGAAGCTGTTTCTTTTCCTCTTTCCTTTTGTTTTTACTGAGTGGATTTTCTCCACATAAGAGGAGCTAGGGGTCCAACTTGTATTGAAACTCAGTAGGAGCTGTTCACTTTACTTCTTGATGATTTTGAGAATCCCACTGGCAACAGGATCTGAATTTTAACATGAGTGTTTGTGGGCAAAACCCACTTCATCAGATGAATTGGAGTGGAAATAACAGAAACAAAAATTCGATATGGATATATAAACAGCAGAAGAACCTGTCAATTGTAGTATAGCTAATGAGGCTAATTAAATGGGCTGGATGTGTCCCCATATGTATAGCTTTTTGATGTAATGGACTCAAATCTGTAGATAACTTCCAGTTCTGCTGTCTTTCTGTAATTCCATGTTCCTCAAACTGTGGGTCCCAACCCCCCGATGGGGGAGGGGGTCACAAGCAACTTAGAGGGGGGGTCGCGGTTGTTGTATATTGGGTTGTAGATATAGATCTTGTTGTTATGGTAACTAAGTAGGTCACTGGGGTCAGCCATCTAGTCTGGGCTTGTTCTAGTGAGTTCTGTGCTATGCAATAAAATGGACACTTGCACCTACTCCAGCTCTCTGCCTTTCCACTGATTTCTTCCTATGCTGTGAAACTCCCCACGACATAACAAGTGGCGACGAGGATGGGATACCTGTGCTGCCTCCAGCAACAAAAGAAGTAGAAGTCAATGTAAGAAAACAAACTCTTTCTGGCTGTTCTGGAAGGTGGGGGTAAGAACTGACTGCTACCCTGTGCAAACTGAAACTAAGATCAAGGAGCCCAGAGACTGGGAAAGGAAAGGAAAGGAAAAGAGGGAGAGTGCAGCAGCCATGGCTACACTTACAGGGCCACTGGGACCTTTTGAGGAGACTGTAGAGCAATGGCACGTATATACTGAGCGTTTTGAACTTTTTGTTATTGCAAATGACATTAAAGAAGAGAAGAAGGTGCCAATATTTTTAAGTGTTGTAGGGGCTAAGACCTATTCTCTACTACGCGGTTTGCTGCTCCCTGTTAAGCCAGAGACCAAATCTTACAGTGACATTGTGGAAATCCTGGGGTCACATTATGCTCCAAAACCACTGGCAATTGCAGAAAGGTACAGGTTCCATAGCAGAGACCAAAAAGAAAGTGAAACAATTGTACAATTTGTAGCCAATTTGAAAAAGCTTGCTGAACACTGTGAATTTAAGGAGATGTTAAATGATGCCATACGTGACAGGTTAGTGTGTGGCCTGCACAGTGAAGCTATACGGAGGCGTCTGTTAACAGAAGCTCAGCTCACCCTACAGAAGGCCATTGATATTGCGGTCTCCATGGAACTGGCCACACAGGAGGCACAATACCTTAGTGCACCCCCTGGGGTGCATAAAATGTCCCAAGAACCTACTCACAAAACAGTGAGGAGCCAGGAATGTTACCGCTGTGGTAAGACAGGTCACCATGCAGCAGAATGCTGGTGTAAGAACCTAGTGTGTCGACAGTGTGGAAAAAAAGGACACATTGAGCGTGCCTGTAAACAAAAGAAAAAGAGGCCTGTGGCCTGGCGGAACAAAAAGGAAAATCTGCATACCATCGAGCAGATGTCTGATGATCAAAGTGACACCAAGGGAGCTCCCATGAATAGTGGGTAACCCCACTGTTGGATGGCAAACCGGTACGCATGGAAGTGGACACTGGTGCAGCAGTTTCATTGGTCTCAGACTCGGTGTATAAGGAAAAGTTGAAGCATCTTCCACTTAAGGCAACAAAGATCATTCTGAAGACATATACAGGAGAAGCAGTACCCCTATTGGGCACTACTGATGTTAAGGTGGAACTAAATGGACGGACTGCAGAATTACCACTGTTTGTGGTGAAAGGCCATTACCCAGCCTTAATGGGGAGATCATGGCTTAGGAAGATCCCACTGGACTGGGCAGAAGTGCACCGGATGACTAAAGAAGAAACAGGTCTGACTGATATATTAAAGAGACATGCTGCTGTTTTTGGAGAGGATCTGGGAAGTATGAGGGGAATCACCGTGAAACTGAACATTAAACCTGGTAGCCAACCAAAATATCTGAAGGCCAGAACTGTGCCATATGCTATCAGACCAAAAGTTGAAGCAGACCTGGAGCGCCTAGTCAAAAATGGAGTCCTAATACCAGTTACCCATAGTCCATGGGCAACTCCAATAGTTCCAATATTGAAGAAAGATGGTTCTATTCGGATTTGTGGGGATTTTAAGGTCACTGTTAACCCTGTTTTATGTGCAGAGCAATACCCCCTTCCTCGCATCGATGACATCTTTGCGGGCCTGGCTGGGGGAGCCTTGTTCCAGAGAGCTATGGACCAGATCTTGTGTGGCTTGCCAGGAGTTAAGTGCTATCTTGACGACATCCTGGTCATGGGTGGGAATGAGGAGGATCACCTTAAGAACTTAGAGGCTACCCTACAAAGACTGGAAGAGTATGGCCTACGAGTCCGTAAAGATAAGTGTGCATTCTTTCAGCCCTCTGTTGAATATTTGGGACACATCATTGATGCTACTGGTCTTCATAAGTCCTCTTCAACAGTTAAGGCTATTGTGGAAGCTCCACCCCCTCAAAATGTTAGTCAACTTTGCTCATTTCAAGGACTATTGAACTATTATGGAAGGGTTATTTCACAGCTAGCCACACTATTAAAACCACTTCACGAGCTCCTTGGCCAGAACAAGGTCTGGAAGTGGACTGACGCCTGTGATGTTGCATTTAACAAGGCTAAATGTGCATTGCTAAATGCAGAGGTCCTGACGCATTTTGATCCATCCTTACCTTTACAGTTGGCTTGTGATGCCTCCCCATATGGAGTGGGCGCGGTCTTGTCACATGTTATGCCCTCAGGAGAGGAGAAACCAATTGCTTTTGCTTCACGCACCTTAAGCACAGCTGAAACTAACTATGTGCAAATTGAATGTGAAGAATTGGGAATCGTTTTTGGAATTCGGAAATTTCACCAGTACCTGTTTGGATGGAAGTTTACACTTCTCACTGACCATTGACCTCTGACGGCAGTTTTTGGTCCACACTCAGGTATTCCACCAATGGCTGCTAGTCGTATGCAACGATTGGCATTGTGGCTTTCAGGACACACACATGAGATCAGATATCGGAAAGCCACTCTACATGGCAATGCAGATGGTCTCTCTAGGCTGCCTTTGCCAGTCAAACATCAAGATAGTGGCCAGAAGGAAATCTTTTACTTTGAGCAGGTAGAGAACAGGCTCCCAGGACACACATATGAGATCAGATATCGGAAAGCCACTCTACATGGCAATGCAGATGGTCTCTCTAGGCTGCCTTTGCCAGTCAAACATCAAGATAGTGGCCAGAAGGAAATCTTTTACTTTGAGCAGGTAGAGAACAGGCTCGTCACTGCTGCAGAAGTTAAGAGAGCAACTCGTGTTGACCCAGTACTCTCCCAAGTAATGGAACTAGTGATGCGTGGAACATCTCTACGGAACTCTGAGGTCTCATCTGACCTTCTCCCTTACATGTCTAGGAGAAAGGAGTTATCAACCCATTCGGGGTGCTTGTTGTGGGGAATGCGTGTCATTATTCCAAAAATCCCGAGACAACAGATGTTAGAGAACTGCATTCAGGTCACTGTGGAATGGTGCGCATGAAAGAAATTGCACGAAGCTATTTTTGGTGGCCTGGTTTGGACAGTGACATTGAAGAGAAGGCAAGAGCTTGTATTTCTTGCCTGGGTGTGAGGAATGCACCTCAATTGGCACCTCTGCACCCATGGGACTGGCCTGAAAAACCATGGCAATGTATTCATGTTGATTTTGCTGGCCCATTTGAAGGTAGCATGTTCTTGATGGTGGTAGATGCTCATTCCAAATGGCCAGAAGTCTGTATAATGCCTTCCACTACTGCTGAGAGTACTATCCAAAACTTACGGGGAATCTTCTGTCATTTGGGTATTCCTGAACAACTTGTGAGTGACAACGGTCCACAGTTTGTGTCTCAGGAGTTTGGAAATTTTATGAAAGCAAACGGGATCCATCACATCACTTCAGCACCGCATCACCCGGCCACAAATGGATTGGCTGAAAGGTTTGTCCAGACAATTAAACAAGCTTTGAAATTGGTTAGAGAACATTCACTCGTACAAAAGAGTCTGGACACCTTCTTACTATCCTACAGAAACACTCCTCACGCTACAACCAAAGTGTCCCCGGCTTTTCTAATGATGGGACATCAGCTACGCACATGCTTTGATTTGCTGAAACCTTCAGAACCGCGACAAATTGTGCAACATCAGCAGCAAGGTCAAGTCATCAGGCGCATCCAGAGCAAAAGATCAAACCTTTAGTCCTGGACAGACAGTTTTGGCTCGGAACTATGCAACAAATTATGCAACATCAGCAGGAAGGTCAAGTCATCAGGCGTGCATCCAGAGCAAAAGACCGAACCTTTAGTCCTGGACAGACAGTTTTGGCTTGGAACTATGTTCCTGGAGCTAAATGGGTCCCTGCCACTATTATTGCTCAAACAGGACCTGTTTCCTATACTGTCTGGACTGCGAAAGATCTCATCTGGCGGCGGCATGTAGATCAGTTATTGACAGGTTATTCCTGCCCCCAAGGCACATCTCCAGTTGAGTTGCCTGTCCTTCCCACTGCTGGTGAGCTACCGTGTCAAGGATCACCTGTTCCTGACTCTCCTCCTCCATCACCACCAGCGGCGAACAATAACCTCCTCCCTGAGCAGGCTGATCCAACAGCCTCACCTGTTCACACTTCAAGTTCCCAGCCCAGTGTCAGGCCTGCACCCATAACATCTTCGGGTGCGAGAACGCCAGATGTCCGCCGTAATCCACCTAGAGAAAGGAGGCCTCCTCAATGGCTGGACCTTTAGTTGAGATTAACTCACACATAGGGCAAAATAATCCCCAGGGTTAGCTGGGAACTTGAAGCGTTCTACCCTCATTTCATAGTTAGTTTTTGTTTTCTTAAAGGGACGTTTTTATTAAGGGGGGAGGAATATGTTGTATATTGGGTTGTAGATATAGATCTTGTTGTTATGGTAACTGAGTAGGTCACTGGGGTCAGCCAGCTAGTCTGGGCTTGTTCTAGTGAGTTCTGTGCTATGCAATAAAATGGACACTTGCACCTACTCCAGCTCTCTGCCTTTCCACTGATTTCTTCCTATGCTGTGAAACTCCCCACGACATAACAGCGGTATCACAAAGTTTGAGAACCTCTTCTGTAATTAGTTAATGAAATTCCTTTCTAGAAGAATGTCTACTTTTAAATGCATGATTGAGTGCTGAGGCAGGTTGAAATGTTCCCCCCAGGTTTACGTGTGTTACGATTTCTGATGTCTGATTTGTGTCCATTTATCCTTTGCTGTAGAGACTGTCCAGTCTGGACAATATACATGGCAGTGGAGTATTGCTGGCACTTGATGGCATATATCGTATTAGAGGATGTGCAGTAGCATAAGCCCCTGATGATGTGGCTTATGTGGCTAGTTCTTATGATGGTGGTGTTTGTATAGACACGTGGCTAGAGTTGGCAATGCGGTTTGTTGCAGCTGTAATGTTTACTTTTAGGGGTGACAAATCTTGAAATTGCTGTAACAGGAAAAAATTCACGTTATGTGCCTTTGAAATCAACACCTGTGTAAGGCTGCGTTCTGTAAACTATTGAGCTTCTTGGAGCAGCTGAGGTGCAGAATGAGTGAGATAATTCTCCCTCAGAATCAGTTCATCAGTCTTAATCACACAATTCTTTTCAGACTGCCATGAGCCACAGTATGAAAATATTTACTTTCCTTACCTTCCTTCCTTCCCCCCCCCCGCATCCGCCTCCTGTTCTGAAATGTGATTTGTCCTTTTCATGTGTGTTAATTTTTTTAAATTGTATCCTTTGGTATATATGGTTGTGACTATTTTCTTCCACTATTTGATCTGAGGAAGTGGGTCTGGCCCACGAAAGCTCATCATCTAATAAACCATCTTGTTAGTCTTTAAAGTGCTACATTGTCCTGCATTTCGCTTCAGCTACCCCAGACTAACACGACTACATTTCTATCACTACTCACAGATATTGTTACTGCTATAGGTATTTGTTTGGCCTCCATCACTACGGTATCTGAACATCTCAAATATTAACAAATATATTCTCACAACATTTTTTGAAACAGTGGGGAGGACTATTATTTTACAGAGGGAGAACTGAGGCCTGGAAAGACATCCATGTCAAGCCATTTTATATGTGGCAGGCTTGAGAACCAAATCCAGGTTGTTCCTCATATATATTAGGAGCCAGGTTCTGATAGCAGTGCTCGCTCTGAGAACAGCTTACTCCATGAGTACAGCCAGATGGATTTCAATGAGAATACTCAAAGTAAGCTTCTATTCAACAGTAGCAAGGGTGTCCAAATCTGGCCTTAAATAACTAAACTTTGTAATAGATGTGCCCTTTGTGACGTATGTGTGATAACCTGATACAGGACTCTCCAGAATGAAATAGTCCAAGACCGCAAATATTATTAGCATTAGCTTCTGGAAAATTCCTAGTGGAAGATGAACAACCTGAAAACTTCTGATGTAAGTATATCTAATATATTTATGAACTAGTGCCACATGATGACTTTATAAATAAAGCAATCAGAATACTTCAGTAAAAGTTTGCATGGAAATGTATTCCATTTTAATAAGGTCTGTATTAAAAAACAAAATACCATTCCATTGCTGAGATATTATGGGCATGTCAGTCTTGTAATCCAAGGAGGCTCCAGAAAGACCATGTGATAGGCAGGCACACATGATGGTGTGGCCCACAGAGCAAGGAAAGCAACAGCCACTACATTAAGTGCTAACATTTGGATCCCAGCTCAGCAAGACACTTAGCACCTGCAGTGTGTAAATGTGCATCTAAGTGACTTCAGTGGAACTTGTCCAACATTTAACCTCTTGTTTACTTGCCTTCTGAAAGCTTTCGAAGGCCCTGATGTCTCCTAGCAACAATAGAATTTAGAGGTAAATTAAACCTTTGTGAGTCACATGAAGTAAAACAGTTTAATTAGATCTCAAAGAAAAATATTTTCTATTCCTTTTTATCTCCGAATCCAAGCATGGAAGGTGCTGAGTTCCCCTCAGTGCTCAGCACTTGGCATGATTGGGCCTTTGATGATGATATAATCCACTGAAGGAAGCAAAACTAGGGTTGCCTGATAGTTTAACACAAAATACCCACCCCCCCCCCCCAAAAAGGGGGGGGAGACCAACATTGTTAAGCCAAAAAAAGGTGGTGCACCTTTAAATGGCCCCGCGCTCCTCACTCCCCCGCCCCCGTCAGAGGCGGCAGGGGAAATTGTCCCCGCCAGACTTCCGTCCGAGGGAAACAAGAAATACAGGACTTTTCACATTTTTTCCGGACAGGGGACCCGAATAACAGACAGTCTGGGTGAAAACCGGACACCTGGCAACCCTAAGCAAAACTGCAGCTCCTGCACTCTTTCATGGGGTACTTCAATTGCTGTTCAGCTTGTTCTTTATTTTCCATTTTCTCCATAAACTGGTTGTATCTGAGCACATATTAGCTGCAATACAAAATGTAACTACAGGCAGTCCCCGGGTTACATGGATCCGACTTACATCGGATCCCTACTTACAAACGGGGTGAGGCAACCCCGCACTAGCTGCTTCCCCCCAGCAGACCAGGGAGACGCGAAGCTAGCGCCCCCTCCCTCCCCCCCAGCAGGCCACGGAGACGCGGAGCGGCTTTTCTCAGCAGACACCTCAGCTTGAGAATAAAGGAGTGAGGGAAGTGAGGTGTGGGAGAATAAAACTGAGCTCTGGAGAAATGTTTGGCTAGAGATTCCCCTACAATATGTACCAGTTCCGACTTACATACAAATTCAACTTAAGAACAAACCTACAGTCCCTATCTTGTACGTAACCCGGGGACTGCCTGTATTTCAGTTGGATAAGTTAGAGCAGATTCACATGTCATATGATTATTACAAAATTTATTGAGAATTAACTGTTACTGATCTGAATCTACAGCAGTTACTACTTCTTAAACTTTAAGAGCATATTTTGTGTGCATGCAATAATTGTTCAGCCTGGCATGAATGTGCACTTGGAAATCCTGCTGTAAATTAAAACAATTAATTGGCATTATATAGTAGAGAATAAAGACGTATTAGCCTGGAAGAGAGGGTTTTTGAAGGGGTGACCCTAAGTTTTAATATGGCAGTCTGAAGGATAAAACAGTTTCAGCCCTAGTGGAGGTTCTTAGTGCCAGCACTTTCATTATTGTGTTAAAACATCTTCCCAGTGGGTATAGAAAGTCAGGAAGCAGTGTTAATGCAACAGACAACCTCCAGCCTCAGATGTATGTGACTCAAATGTAGGTTGATCATACACCCATTTTGGCAAGGACAGTCCCTTTAAGCCCTGTTCCAGTCATCCCAACTTTTCGGGCAGAAGTGGGCATTTGTCTCTTCCAGCTGATCAAGCTGAAAAGAGCAAATGGGACAAATGCCAATCAAGACAATGCCAGCAGCAGTGCCAGTTCTAACCTCTCCTAGGGACGGGGGGCAGTCAGGACTTGGGTGAACAGCTCAGGCCAGCGAGCCCCCATGTAGTGTCCTGTTTTCTCTTTTGGAAATATGGTCACCCTACTCTGATTTTATAATCAGTGGTTAAGACTTGGAGCTAAGATTTGGGAGATCTGTTTTTCTTCCTAGCTCCTCTTCAGACTTCCAGCATTTCCCTTCTCTCATTCTTGGTCTTGTGTATTCATATAAGCTCTGTGATAAAGGGGTTCTGTGATAAAGGGGCTCTGAGTGTATAAACAATAACAATGTTTTAGGAACAGCAAAACTTGATGCCAAGGAAAGTTGGATATTATTTTATTTAATAACACCACTTTATATTGAATAAAATGGGATTCTGTCAAAGCAGTACAGGTACCATTGAACCTCTCTAGTCCAGCTCCCTTAGGATCTGACCGGTGCCAAACCCAATAATTTGCCAAACCACAGGAGGTCAATATTGTCTAGCAGCATTACCAACATGTCCACTGACTGCATACTGGGCTCTTACCAGACATTTAGGGGTAAATTAGAGCTAAATAACACACAATATTTGAGAGCCAGGACCGGTGACTATAAACAAACTTTGAGACCATGGAAAACTTGGCCACACCCATGATGAGTGGGTATCTGGCTAACTAAAATTATGCTGGGCCAAGGATGTTGCCAGACCAGGGAGACCAGAGA